CCCGCCACCTTAGGTGTATGTGGCTGGCGCCTTAGCCGCTTGAGCCACAGGTGCCGAGCCCAGGCCCTCTTTTAACCAAAGTCATATGCAGATAGTCCAGGTAATTTCCCAATGCCATCCTCCACAAGCCAGGCTTATCCTCAGTCCATTGCCCTACTGTGGGCTAGACCAATTTCAGTAGTTCCATGAGTCAAGTTCACCACTCCAGTGCTCTCCCAGAGGCCTGGATCACTATTTTTTCTGGCCGGTCTGACATCTTTCTTCCTCCTCCTATATTCTCCCTTTAATCTCATTTCTTTTCCTACCTCCAGTTTTTGATATGGGAACCATGCAGTCACAGATGTCCCTTTGTTCACCTCTAAGCTGACTTTTAACTAATCTCAAGCCCCTAAAGCTCTATCCTGACCTCAGACCAAAACGTCTCATTCTTTTTCTGTAGTACTGTTCAGCCTATGTACAAGCTTGACAGTGGCTTGCAGTGGCCTCACCATGGCACCTTCGATCTCTCATTTCTCACTGATCTCAATAATTATTGTCAATAATTAGGCAAATGGTTGGTGATCCCTTATATCCAGGGATTACTCATACTCCAAAATATTCCTTCTCTATGTTTGTCTTGCTGGCCCGCTCAGCTCTTTCTTGCACAGGTGAAACCAGTTTCCCCTGATCCATGTGAATCTCCATTATCATCTTTTGATCCTGTGAACAATTTTCCCCTTCACCTCCCCCCGACTTGCCTTCCACTGCATGTAGCAGAGACAGACAAAACAGTAGAAACAAAGAGGAAAAAAATGGTGGAATTTCCCCCAGGGCCCTCAGACTTCCTAGTGAGATCTCCTTGATCTGGCCTTCAAGGTGTGGCAGCGCCTCTCAGAGCTCCAGTATTGGCTTCTGCCATTAAGCAAAACTTGGCTACTTCGTAAAACTCCACTCCTTCTAGAAAAAAATAAAATCTTCCTCAGGATTGTGCTTTAAGTGCAGTGAACCAGGTTTCTGGGCAAAGCAGTGTCCCCAAATCCAACCTTCCTCCCAAACTGTGTCCAGACTGCAGAGGTCTAGCTGCCCAGGTCTTTCTGAAGATCCAGTGCAGACTCTCAGAACGTGGCTGAAGTTCCCTGTGGGGCCTAGCTGCAATAGACTGATGACCCCGGAAAATCAGAATGCCCCCTGGATGCCATTCTGGAAAACTAAACTCTAGGTATTTTTGCTTATAGAAGGCAAGCCGATCTTTTTTCTTTTCTAACAAAAATGGGAGCAATTTCATGCTGACCCTTTGTAAAAGTCCTCTACAAACAGGCAAAGAACTCAGTAACAGATATTAGATGTCTTCTCAGGATTGCTGTCAGTCCTGGTGACTCCAACGGTTCCCGCCTTTCATTGTCCATCTTCCTCTTTGGTTACTGTCTGATAAGGGCACTAATTATAATTTTTTCTCATTCTTGGTTTCAAACAAGTAACCCCCCACCTCATGTCTCAATTTATTAACCAGACAGTCACCAGAAAACAGCTCCTCATATCCTCGTCTTACTGGATACCAACCAGCTCAAACTGAAAAAGCCAAAGAGTTCCTGTAAACACCACTCCCTTATCCCATTCCCCTCCCGCTTCCCTTCCCCTTCTCTTTATCAGCAGCCCACGCATCCACTCTCCCCAAAGGAAGTAGTCAAAGAGATACCACCTCCATCATGCCACCTTCTTATAATAGACAAAAAAGACTGGAAATGATAGGATCAAACCCTGCCCAAATAGGGTGGACCTGCCTAAAAAAAATCAAGCCCCTATCCTATACCACTGGATGTCCCACCTGGGAAAGGTAAATGGGCCAATGCCCACACTTAAAACAAATATCCAACCTAGGAAAGGGAATGTTCCCACTCCCACCTTCCTGACCTTTAAAACCCCCTTTCACCATTGCTCAGTGAGGATTTCTTCCCCACCCAGTTGGAAATTTAACCCCACCTGCACTCAGGTGGAATCAAGCCATTTTAATTGCAAAAAATAAATAAATAAATATATAAAAACAATCTGACTTGGGTGAAATGTATTCATTGTCTAGAATGCACAATCAGTTTTGACTCTTTAAAATATCCTGTAAACTGAGCTCCACAAAATTTATCAGTTTGAATGGTCATATGAGAAAATAAGAAATTCTGAAATATTTTGCCTAAGTATTCAATTCATGAAGCTAAACAAAATGAAACATCAAAATGATTCTAAGGAAAATGGTGTGATAATATTTTTACATTTTTTTTAAATTAAAAAAGTAGTCCTTACTCTCCTTATCTAAATATTTGGACAGAATAAAGGTCCTGTTGATGGGATGCCAATAAAGTGATGTTTTATTAACTTAAAGTAGTATTTACTTATTTTTTCTGTATCTACAGTTTTGACTATCTTCTGATGTTATCTCTTTTTTCCCTCATAACACTTCCTTAAAAATTCTCTATGTGCACTTATTATGTTTTTTGTTTATTTTATATCTGCTATTGACTCTTTATTTATTCCAAACTTGTAAACTTCTACACTTCTTTGCATAGTCACATTTGTGATTTATGTATCTATTGTATTGGTCAAAAAGTAGCTTTTGAATTTTAAAAAAAAATTCTCTATTTTATTAGTGTTTCTAAAGAACCGACTTTTGGATTAAATAGATAACTTGTTTGTGTGTGTGTTCTATTTTAGTAACTGCTGTTTTCAACTTTATTAGTTCCTGACTACTACTTTTTTTTGGGGGGGGGATATATTCTTTAGCCAAATATTACTTAGAGCAAATTTTTCCCATATTCTTTCACAAATAATTTTTATGTTACTACATGGTTGTCAAAGTATGCAGTCTGAACAACTTCTGACGTTTAGAATTCATTGAAATTTTTCTTTGCACCTTAAATTTAGCATATATTTTGTGAATGTTTCAGAGGCATTTAAAAAGAATGTGTATTCAATGCTTTCGGAATATGAAATACTGTTTCTTAAATAAAACTTATTAATATTGTCATATAAAATCTCAGTACCTTTATCTATCTCTCTGTGTGTAAATACATACATCCTATTTAATCTTAGTGAATTTGCCGATTTAAATTTTTTTCTTACTATTAAAGATTTCTGGTATATAGAATGAAGTTGATCATACTATACAATTCATGGTGTACTACCATCACTAATCTGTAAAGGGCCTCTAATTATTACTTTGTTATTTTTCTCATTTAACTCCTATCTCCAATTCTATTCCACCCCTCATAAGCACCAACTCTAGTATATTTAATATATTTCTACTCAACCATCCTCAACAGCTCATTTAGACTTATATATTTTTTGAGGAAAGAAAGAGAAATTTATTCATTTTCCAGCCTAGATTTATGTACTTATCTTTAAAATATAGTGTTGTTTTATGTGCATTAGTACAAATCTAATAAACAGAAATCATTCTGTGCTATAAGTTTATACTATTTCTTCCCTTTCTTCACCAAATCATATATACTGAAATACATCTATGATGCAAATATAAACCTAGTTTATTATTTTTGATGTACTGTATACAGAGACCATATTTTATTTAACCATTCTCCTCTTGATAGATGCATAAGCCGTTTTTATTCCTTTTCTCCTACAAACAATGTTGCACACATCTGTGTAAGAAATTTTCTCTGGGCTATTTACTTAAGAATGGAATTATGTATAGGAATATTCACACTAAATTTCATGAACTACTGCTAGATTGCTATTCAGAATAATGATACTATTTTACCTACCCACCAGCAATTCTTAGGTGTTTCTAGTGCTCTTCATATACATATACATATTGGCCATTTGTCTGTCTTTCTCCTTCTGTATACTGCCTTTTCATTTCATTACTCATTTTCAATGGTTTTTTTTCTCTCCAGTGCTGATTTACAGAATTTTCTTATGTATTTAGAATATACACTGTTTGGGGTGGTGCCTGTGGCTCAAAGGGGTAGGGCACCGGCCCCATATACTGGAGGTATCGGGTTCAAATCCAGCTCCCAGCCAAAAAAAAAAGAATATACTCTGTTTTATAGCTGGTCATTTTTTAGAGTCCTTTATTGAAAAGAAATTTTTAATGTTGATATAATCAAATCCTTTTTTACTCTATAACTGAAGTTTTGGAAGTCTTATTTAAAAAATCCTTCACAACCACAAAGCATAATATTTTCTCTAATGGTTTCCTCCACTAGCTTTATAGTTTTATCTTTAAGATACATTTTAATGTCCATTTAATTCATTTGAAGATTGTTTTTGCATATGATATCAAGTAGGAATTCTACTTTGTTTTCCTCCATTAGTAAGCCAGTTTCCCAAATCATATACTAAATAACACATCTTTTCCCCTGCTGCTTGACAATGTCATCTCTATAATATGATAAATTCTCATATACATGAGTCTCTGCAGGTTCAATATTATGATGCATTAGTTTATTTGTAACACTACTTCAATAGCATTATGTATATCCTTATATCTGATAGTGCATGTTCATCATCATTTTCTTCAAAATGGTATTAGCTATTCATAGACCTGTTTATAGTCTTTTGAATAAATATCAAAATTATTTTGTTAAGGTTCCCACCAAAATTTTCCTGGTCCATTAATTAAAACTGCATTCAAATTACAGATTAATTTGGAGAAAATATACTTATTTTAACAACCATTCTTAAACCCTAGTCTTAGGACACCAATTCTCAATCTCAATCTGTGTATTCCAAGGTTGTTTTACTATCTCATTGTGCTGAAATTTCAAAACAGACTGAAAAAAGTTGAGTTAAGAATTTAGCTAACGTTGTTGATGAAAAGCAAGGGGGTAAACCCAAATAAATATGAAAAAACAAATAATAAGAAAAATAAATAATAAAGATAATAGTAAAAGAAAGTAAAAGCCACTAGAAGTAATTAAAAGGAAATCAAAAACTGATTGCTTTGATTACAAGGTAAATGTCTGACAAAACTGATAAAAAAATAAACAATGCTGATCAACACGGGAAAGTATCCAATTACTCAACACTATTATGAAACTAATTGTTAGCTATCTTAGGAAAGCTACCACCCAAATGGAGCCCTAGGCTATGGGGAAAGGGGAGGGGGGAGGGGAGAGGGGAGGATGGGTGAAGAGAATGATATTGTGGGGATCACGCCTATAATTTATCCTATTAGGGTACATGTGAATTTGTCTAAAGGTTGAATATAAATGTCTTAACACAACAATTATGAGAAAGACATGATGGCTATGGAAACTGCATATGGAAGCAACACACTGTATCCTATGATAGAATTAATGTACACAATTATGATCTAATAAAAAAATAAATAAATAAATAAAATAAACAATGCAACTCAGAATACATGAAAGAAACAAATACAGAGATAACAAGTTTTAAAACTAATTCAAGAATATTATGAGAATATGTATTCATAAGTTTGAAAACTTAGTTCTTTACATATACATATATCTATATTACTTAAA